ATATATATATATATAATATATGTTTACAACATTGGCGTGAAATCAATTTCTCGTTCTTGCCAAATGATCAAATAACAATATCATTATGCTATCACATGTTGAACTTTTTCTTTTTTTCTCTCACATAATGAATAAGCATAACTGTTCAAATATTCAAAAGCATTCATTTGTAGGAAAAATCAGGAAAATAGGGAAAGAAAATTATAGAATATCTTGTATTTATCATGATAAAGATTATCCAAAACGATAAACTCAACTCAATTGTAACGGCCATACACACCCGTGTGTGTGAGCGGATGTGTGTAGGTGGGGTGTGTGGGCGGATGTGTGTGCGTGGGGGGTGTGTGGGCGGATGTGTGTGAGTGGGTGTGCGTGTGTGTGCGCGTTTATCATTCATTATATTCAACAGCCAAATTTTAGACTGAGAAGAAAAGATTAAAATAGAGGACTGTTTTGAAGGAATAATTCAGAGCATCAAATAAAAGAACTAAAAAACTGTTCGGAATGATTTAGACGAGGGAAACAAAAAAAAAAGAATCAAATACTTTCAAATCGAAATATGAAATACAATGCTTTAATTAATTGACAAATAAATGATGAATGATTTTCTATTTGCATGTCTCAATTAAATTAAGACTGATTTAGATATAACGAGAAATTATTAATGGAATGCTTTATTTATAAATGGAACCTGTTTTTATTGTACATTCAGTTATAATTTAATGAATCAATCATTAAGCTTAATTTAATCTCTAATAATTTAATTTAGTTAAATAATGTGTATATACATATGCATGAAATGCAAGTAATTCTAAAACAATTTTTCCGTAATAGCTTTTTAAACTTACACAATTGTCAAGTTTACAAAATCATGAAAAACAAAAAAGGTATAATAGAGGTGTGGATGATTTTTTTTGTTAAATTTTTTTGTTAAAAACTAATAAAATAATAAAAAATATGAAATTGTACTATGAAAGGAAGCTGTAATTTTTACTATAGTGACTAGACTAGAAAAAAAATACAAATTGTAATCGGAGGGAATAAACATGCGAAAAACACGATCTTTTATTAATCGATATCTCCGCCTTTTTCCTATAAATGTTACAATTCAAAAATAATACGGAAAATCCATAATCCATAATTTATTCACAATCTGAACGAGCCTTCGATTTTCTCACGCCATATATACTTATGAAATATGCAAGGCATGGCAGTGAGAGAAAAAGGGCATGTTTTTATTTGCTAAATGATAAAAAAAACATTAAAAAAACACAATAAAATATTGAAATTGTTCGCTCTTTAATTTTTATGGAACAAAGAAAAAAAGTTAAAAATTATGAGCGCAAAAATCAATGATA